CCCTTTTAATTAATTAATTAATTAATTAATTTATCACAGTACTGGGGGTTGAACCCAGGGCCTTTGCACTGAGCTACATTTTCAGCTGTTAAAAAATTAAAAAAAAATTTTTTTGAGATAGGGTCTCACTAAGTTGCTTGTGAACTTGTAATCTTCCTGTCTTCTTGTTTTAATTTTACTGAGACAGGATTTCACTAAGTTGTACAGTCTGGCCTTGAACTTGCAATCCTCCTATCTCAGCATCCCCACTACCTGTGATTACTGGCATGTGCCAATTGACCAGGTATCTCTAGCTTCTTGAAGTAGAACCTTAAGTAGTTGGTTTTAAGTCATTCTTCTTTTCCTATACAATTTTATAAAGTCATAAATTTCTATCCAAGCACTATTTTAGTGGCATCCTGCAGATTTCAGTACATTGTGTTTTTATTACTTTTCGGTTCAAAATACTCTCAGCTTTTCCTTGTGATTTCTTTTTTGTCTCCTATGGTATTCAGAAGTGTGGGGGGTTTTTTGTTTATTGTTTTTTTTTTTTTTATTGGGGATCCAACTCGGGTCCTTGCGCTTGCGCAGCAGGCGGCGAAACCACTAATCTAAACCAACCCCCGGCCCAGAAGTGTGTTTTTTAAATTTCCAAAGATTTCATGCTTGTTTTTTTGAGACATAATATTTGTACCTCATTGTGGAGTAATTGTGATAATTCAATACATATATACTATAGTAATAAAATCAAATCGTGGCAGGAAGGATTTCCATCTCTTTAAATGTTAGCTATTTTTATGTGTTGTGAATTTTGTACTCTTCTACTCATTTTCAAATATATCATAGATCATTTTAACCAATAGTTGCCTTATTGTGCTATAGAAAACCAGAACTAAATCTCCCTCTCTGATTGCATTTTGGTGTCCCTTATTTAACTTCTTTCTTTCCTCCTTCCCGTCTGCCGTTTTCAGTCTCCAGTGACCACTATTCCATTCCATTATATGAGATCAATTATTTGGTTAGCACAAGTAAGAACATGCGCTATTTGTATTACCACACCTGTCTTATTCTACTTAACACGACTTCCAGTTCTATACACATTGCTGAAAAATTACAGGATTTCATTCTTTTCATGGCTGAATAATATTCCATTTTGTATTAAACCATATTTTCTATATCCATTCATCTATCAGTGAACATCTAGGTTGACTTATATTTTAACTATTGTGAATATTGCTTCAGTAAATATGGGAGCACGAGTAGATTTTTGATATAGTGATTTTACTGTCTTTGAATATACACCCAATAGTAGAATTGCTGAGTCATATGGTAGTTCTATTTTTATGAGGAACCTCCATACTGTTTTCCATAATGGTTGCACTAATTCAATTTTCCATCAGTAATGTATGAGTCCCTCTTTCTCCACACCTCCATTAGCATTTATTATATTTTTCAACCTGTTTTTGCCGGGAGGTACTGGGTATTGAACTCAGGGCCTTCACACGTAGCTACACTTTTAGTCCTTTTTAATTTTTTTATTGTGAAACAGGGTGTGGCTAAATTGCTCAGGCTGGGCTGAACTTGCAGTCCTCCTGGCTCTGCCTTCCAGAATGTTGGGATTACAGTATTTTTTTTACTTTTTCAATGGTAGCCATTCCAACCTGGGTGAGGTGTTTTGTATTTCCCTGATGATTACAATTTATACACTTGTTGCTCATTTGCATGTCTTCTTCTGAGAAATGTCTATACAGATCATTAGCCAATTTTAAAATCAGATTTTTTTCCTGTTATTTTTCAGTTCCTTATATATTCTGGATATTAATTCCCTGTTAAATGAGTAGTTTGCTGGTATTTTCTCCTGTTTTGCAGGTTGTCTCTGAAGTGTCATTTTCTTTATCTCATTTTTATTAATTTCCAATTTAATTCATTTATAGTTAGAGAATATACTGGTCAAGATTTCAATCTTTTGAAGTCAGGAGAACTTATTTTATAGTCTACCAAGGAAAATGCTTCATGTGCACTTGAAAAGAATGCTGCAGTTGTTTGGTATGATATTCCGTACATGGTCAGTTAGGTTACAGTATTCAATAGTTGTCATTTAGATCTTTTATACCTTTACTGATTTTTGTACCTAGTGCTTTTGTGAATTACTGAAAGAGAAGCTTGAGATATCCGTTTATAATTGTGAATTGTCTATTTTCTCTCTTTTTTTGTCAAATTTTGTTTTTTGTGTTTGGAAGCACTGTTTTAGGCTCACATACATTTGTGATAATTATATCTTTCTGATATATCCATTTTTATCATTATAAAATGTCATCTTTGTTCCTAGTACTACTCATTTTAATAGTTGTTTTATCTGTTATTATTACAGCTATCTCACCTTTCTTATGTTCTTCATTTACCTGGTATATCTTTTTTTCCATCCTTTTACTTTGAGCCTGTTTGTGTCTTTGTATTTACAGCATATCTCTTGTTAAGAGCAGGTAGCTGGATTTTGCTTTTTGTGCAGTCTATCAATTTAGTTTTTATTTTTTTATGGGATATTTAGTCCATTTACATCTAATAAAGTTATGATTGTACTTGGGTTTATGTCTATTTTTATTGATTTTTTAATTTATCTCACCTGTGTTTCTGCTATTTTGTTACTCTATTTTTCCCATATTCCTGCCTCATCTTGTGTTAATCAGATATGTTTTAATATTTCACTTTCATCTTCTTTTGGATATTTAGCTTTTGTTCTTTGTATTATTTTTTAGTGGTTGCTCCAGGGATCAAGTTATGCATTTTTAATGTATCACAATGTACTTATAATTAATATTGAATTGCTTCAAGTAAAACACAGAAAACTTGTCACAGTATAATTCCCCAGCTCTTTGATATTTTGTCATGTGTTCATATTAATATACATAATAAGCCAACAATACAGTTTATAATTTTTGCTTTAAGTGGGTAAGTGTCTTTTAAAGACTTACCTTCCTGTAGATCTAGCTTATCATTTTCTTTCAGCTTGAACAACTTCCTCTAATATTTCTTTTGGTTCAATTCTATATGAAAATGCCTTTATTTTGTATTCTTTTTTGAGGGGTAGTTTCATTAACTATAGAATTCTTGCTTGATAATTTTTTCTTTCATCACTTTACATATGTTATATCATTATTTTGGGGCCCTTTTGTTTAGCTCTGTCTTAGTTGCTTCCAGGATTTTCTTCCTAAATTTCCAGCTTTTCTGGCAACCCTAAAATTTATCCTCTGCAACCTTACATCTTCAAGGCTGCAGCCACTCATCAATGTTGGGGTGGGAATAGGGAGTTAGAAAGCATTTTGACTCAAAAAGTTAAATATTTTCAGAATTCTTCTGAATCACAGTTAACTTCCTAGTAGCTGGATTGTGACAGGTCAATTTTTAACCTTTAAAGGAATCTCCATACTGTTTTCCATGGGGGTTGTACCATTTCACAATCCCATCAACAGTACACAAGGGGTCTAATTTCCCCACATCCTTACCAGCACTTGTTATTTTCTGTTGCTGTTTTATTTTTAAGCTAGGAGTCATCCTAGTGGGTGTGAGTCAATATCTCACTGTGGTTTTAAATTTGCATTTCTGTGATGATTAATGGTGTTAAGCATCTTTTTGTATGCCTATTGAATATTCGCATATCACCTTTGGAGAAATGTCTATTAAAGTCTTTTGGGCATTTTTTATTTTTATTTATTTATTTATTTATTTATGATATCAGGGATCGAACTCAGGACCTTGCACCTGCGAGGCAGGCACAGCACCATGAAGCTAAATCCCAGGTCCAGCCATTTTTTAATATCCTTTTATTGGTACATTTTAGGTGTACAATATAATGCGATTCATCATTGGAGATATGCACCTTTACATACTCTCTTTGTTCTTATTTTTTCCCCCTTCCCCAGCCATTTTTTAAATTTGGCTATTTGATTTGTTTGTGTTTGCAAATATTTTCTTCTATGAGTTTTATTTTTTCACATCTTACATTTAGGTCTTTAATGTATATTGAGTTAATTTTTGTATATGGTATAACACAAGGGTCTAAGTTTATTCTTTTTCATGTTGATATTTGGATTTCCCAACACTGTTTATTGTTCATTGACTTTCCTTTTTCCATTGAGTAGTTTTGACACATTTATTGAAAATCATTTGGCCATATATGTTAAAGTTTATTTCTTGGTTATCTATTCTATTCTATTGGCCTATATGTCTGGATTTGTGTTAGTATCACACTGTTTTGATTACTGTAGCTTTGTTATACAGTCATACCTCAGTTCACAAACTTAATTCTTTCCACAATTCTGGTAACAAACTGAATCATTATGTTCAATGGTGACCTTATGGGGAAATTTGTTCTGCTTTTTCAGGATTACTTTGGCCATTCAAGGTTCTTTGAAATTCTATATGAATTGTAAATTAGATTTTTGTATTTCTGCAAAAACTGTCATTGGAGTTTTGATAAAGATTGCACTGAATCTGTGGATCACTTTGGGTAGTATGTCAATTTAATGATATTGAATCTTCCAGTCCATGAATATAGAATGTGGAAAGACCCAGTTTTTTTCTTGGTCATTTGGTCTCTTCATTGTTCCTTCACTATTATCTCCCTCTGTACAATCGGAGTGACAGCTCGAGAATGGTGATGACAAGCTACCGCTTTCAGTCCATTGGCCCTGTGTTGGCAGAAACCATTCTCAAGAATATGGCCAGAAAGCTAGACATTGAAAAGCTTTATTTGCAAATATTTTCTTTACAACTTTATCCATGGGCCTGTTTCTTGGAGATTCAAAGTACTAGAATTTGCACAAGGAGTTTGCCTTTCTGAACTCTGATTATTGAAGACCAGAATGTTAAACGTAACATTGAAATATAATAAAATATCAAGGCCAGATGAGACAAGTGGGACCTTTGCTTTTCTCACCACTTATCATGTTTCTTCTTGTTCTGAATTATTTATTTCATAGATGTATCTTCACTGCAATTTATATTTTGGAAGCTCTGATAAAAATACTTGCAAGAGGTTTTATCCTGGATGAATTTTCTTTCCTTCGAGATCCATGGAACTGGCTTGATTCCATTGTCATTGGAACAGCGTAAGAATGTAAAAGATTTTTATTGGAGAGACCTGGGGTGGGAAAGAAGTCCCTCTGCTTCCATCAGTCCCTTTGGGTCTCCATGAGTGGCTGAGGTGACCTAATAATGCCTAATAATGACTTAAGTAACTTGCTAATTGGCCCTGAACGGGCAGTGTGTGGCTGTTGGCCAGAGGCCTCCGGGCACAAATCCATTTCTAGGATTGTCTCATTTTTTCATTAATTCACTCATCAACACTGGTGCCTATGGGACAGGCTCTGTACAAGATACAGGGGCTGAAACAAAAGAAGAAAAGAAACAAGTGCTCTCAACCTCATGAAGCTCACAGTGCAGAGAGAAAGAATGACAATGACCATTAAAATATGGTATAGGGAGTACTGGTATAGAGGCTGTGCATGTATGAGGCTGTCAGAACTTGTGGGTGGAAACAAGGACTTAAAAAAAAAATCTTCAACTACTTTGAGTTCACAAAGAATTTCTCCTATGTTTTATAGTTTTGGCTTTTGTGTTTGCATTCAGTGTCTTTTTTGAGTTAATTGTGTATAGTATGAAGTGAAGGTTGATGTTCTTCTTGAAGGATAGGACACTGATTTGACATCTAAATGATAAAATGGAATAAAAACCAAACAAAGTAATGGCCAATTGCCAGCACAACAATAATAAACTTATAAGGTATGTGTACCAGGAAGTGTATGCAGTACTTTGTATATACGGTATCTCCTGTTTAATATTCACAAAAGTCCTTACATATAGGTGCTACTAAGTTCAGCATTTTTGGGGGGTGGGTACAGGAGATCAAACTCAGGACCTTGCACTTGTGAGGCAGGTGGAGGCACCACTGAACTAAATCCCCAGCCTAAGTTCAGCATTTTATGTTTGAAGTTCAACATTTACATGCTTTTGGTCATTGAAAGATGGTGTAAGAATGTAGGTTCTAGAGCCAGATCTCCTAGATTCATGTTGATCGTAGATGGGAGACCTCAGCAAGTGTACTGGGGCATGGGATTTGGCAATCAGTGAATAAGTGTTTGTGTGGGTTTTCATTATTCATGGATGGAGCCGCAACTATGTGGACAATTTTAAGGAATTCTACTTGTGTCCATGTATAAAGATAAGCTGTGTAGTTCATGGGCCATAGTAATGAATGTGATGTTGCCAGGTTCTGAGATGAAGATGAAGCTGCACATTTCCCCTTGGTAGGCAAAGCCCCAGGCTTACTCTGCTTTTGTGGAAATGTGCAATGTAGCTGCAGAATTGAGTAAGTCAAGCCTTTCTCTGTTTTTTGTCTTGTAGAATTGCAGATTTAGATCCTAATTCCCAAATCAAACTGTTGTCTCTACGTACCTTCCGAGTGATCAGAGCGCTGAAAGCAATTTCAGTAGTTTCTGGTAAGCCAATCTAACTTTTCTTTTTTAAGCCAATCTGACTTTTAACACTGGCTGTCAGTTGGAAAGAATGTTCTTTTATGCTTACAGTTTTTCAAAATGTCATTATGTAAACCAAAAGCCAAACAGCCCCTGCTTTACAGATTTATTTGATTGTTCAACCAATAATTATTGAGCACCTAATATGTCCAGGCACTGTGCTAACTGCTAAGGATCTAAAAGTGGGGGGCAAAGACACCTGCCCTCTTGGAGTATTTGCTATAAGGTCAGGGTGTGGGGAGAGAGACATGAGTAAGGGAGTAAATTTACAGGAGCAAATTGTGTAGCATATTAGAACCTGCGATGTGCCATGGAAAATACAAAGAAAACATAGACAATATGAAGACTATGAGAATTTACAATGGATAGGGGAAGCAGGTTGCAATTTTAGTGTGGTCAGGATACGGTGTCATTGAGAAGGTGAGAAGTATGCAAAGACTTGAAGGTGATGACACACGAGCAGATATTTGGAAAAGAGTGTACTAATGATAGAACCAGAGCAAAGATGGAGAGACGGTAAAGTTGTGGATGGGGCTGGGGGAGCGGGGAGGCCAGTGTAGGGGGGATCACAGAAGTAAGGGAGTCTATGAGCATGGGGAGCAAAGCTTCCCTCTGAAGAAATGGGAGGATAGAATGTGAGGAAGCCGCAGAAGCAGAATGACCAGGAGAGAGGCATGATGGTTTCTGAGGAAGCACACTTCTGATCTCCTGCCTCATGGAGCACAGGCAATGGATGGTTCCTGCTTTACCCTCCGAAGTTACCTCTGCATTCATGCTCATCCCCAAATCCTGCTGGCTCTACATGGCCTGGGTGCTAGTGCTGTTCCTAGGTCTGTTCCTGGAGGACCTGATACTCCTCTAGTGGGGAACTGTGGCTCAGGGCTCCCTGGTAACCTGGCTGAGGCTCTCACAGCTGCACTGCAGTCTGAGGTTCTTCCTGTCCAGCCCTGCTTGCTTTCCTCTCCCTTTTATTAGGTGTCAGAGCTACACAGAAGTCTGAAGTTCCTTCCTGCCAACTCCTGCTCCCCCTCACTTGTCAGAGGCATTTCCCCCAACAAATCCCTTGTACATTTGATCCCAGAACTTCTTCTCAGAACCCAAAGAGGCATAAGAGGCCACAATTCAAGCAAGGGATGGTGCTGCTCTAGGTCAGGTGATGGTCCTAGAGTTGGCAGACAGTGGTCAGGGTCTCTAAATTTGGATGCAGAAAGAATGATTGACTGATTATATTTGTGATGTGGGTAAAAGAGAAAAATAAAGGATGATACCAAAATTTTTGGCCTGAGTGCCTGGACAGATGGCAGTTTTCACTGACTGAGACAGGAAAGGCTATGAGAGGAGCAGTTCTGGCAGTCAGGTTAGGAGCTGACTTTGAACATGCACTTCAGATGACTGAGACATCCAGGTGGAAGCATGAAATAGGCAATTAGATGCATGAGTTGAGAATTTCCAGGGCAGTCTGAGCTGGAGATAAGTATCTTGGGCCTATACATGATGTGTGAAGCCATGAAATCTGATGAGATCACCAAGAGAATGTCTACAGATAGAGAGAAGGACTGAACCCCAAGGCAGGGCAGCACTAAAGGGGAGTGAAGCAGAGGAGGAACCAGCAAAGGAGATGAGTAGGGGCCACCAGTGAAGTGGGTAGGAAACCACAGATGTCCCCTGGAAGCCAGATGAGGAAGGCACTTTAGCCCTGGGAATCAGGATGAAGCCAGGGGTGGGTTGTGAATGTGAATCCCAGTTTATTAAAACCTGAGGTTACTTTGGCATAACCTCCTCTCTTTTATTTGGAAAAATCCCACTTTATTTAAAAATCTCCTGTCTGGAGTCCTTTCCCCTTTCCATCTTCCCTCTCCTGTTCTATTCTGTCCATAGCTTTGGCTAACTATGAATGCCATGGGACTACTTGGCTCTGATGATTATATAGACTTGGACTATGCCATACATCCCCAGCACCTGAGCTCTAAGCAGTTTGGAATCTCTAAAAACAGAGGGAGTGGGTTATTATTATTATTATTTTTTTGAGACTCCAGGAAGGCACTTGCCTAGTGATAAAGAAACTGGCAGCCAGAAGACCTTATGTGGGATTTGTCCCTTCTCCTAGGCAGATGAACATAGTTTCCATTTTGGCCCATGAACACATTGAGATCCTTGCTTTTTGGAAGTAAAGGTAGAGGTAGGTATAGCCTTCTGTGAGACTTTGTGAAAATTACTCAGAAATCACAACTGTCTTTTGTCTAAATTTGCTTTGGCAAATACTCAAACCTCTTGTTATAGATTAAAACCTGGCTTGGCTGAGGCCGGCTGCACCTAGAGTTGAAGTGAGGCTCCAGTGTGACTTCAGTCCCCTCTCCCCACTTGGGATCACTCTGCAAGAACTTTGCCCACTGTGGTCTTGGCCTCTACTGGATACTGCCTTGTACTCTCACCTCCCCTGTCTTCAAGACTCCTGTATGATCTATACTGATCAATTGAAATTGTGTCACTTAGAATCATTCTGATTCTGGATGGTGGCACCTTTTGACACAAAGATGGTAGAAATGTTGCAGGGACACACAGTCCTGCACAAGTGAAGCTTTATTGGGGGAATGTTTGTGGTACCTCATGTACCTTGATAGTAGATAGGGACCCTGAAATATTAACTAGAGGTCTATGTCAATCTCTGACACTTCTGTGTCCCCTAACTATGGGGAACCTTCATAACTGTCATCCAGTCATGCCCGTGTCCACTTCTGTGCAGTCTCCTCACTTGCTCCTCAGAGTGCCCTTGAGCAGCACAGGCATGGGTGAAGGCATAGGCAGAGAGTTTGACTGCTGTGATGACACGCAGCTCTCAAAGTATGGAACCCTGGGCCAAGCTGGTTCCCAGTTCCAGCCTGAATTTGGCAATCTCTATGAGCTCCCTCCCTGCGCATGTCTGGGTTGGGCCAGGTGGGGCTGCTTATCCCACACCTGTCCTCCTCCTCAGGTCTGAAGGTCATTGTGGGGGCCTTACTGCGCTCAGTGAAGAAGCTTGTTGATGTGATGGTCCTCACCCTCTTTTGCCTCTGCATCTTCGCCCTCGTGGGTCAGCAGCTTTTCCAGGAAATTCTGAGCCAGAAATGTGTCAAGATAGGCTGTAACAGTACCCGTGAAACCAATGGTAAATATTCCACTTCTTGGTTTGTGCATGGTAACTTTTATTTATCTCCACACATACTACCTGCATACCTGGCTCTGAGAGCATGGGAGGGCTTTATCCATCCAGAGGTCTGTGCAAGCAGGTGTATTTCTTGGAGAATTGCTCCCATCTTTGGGTTTCTCTGGAGAAGAAAAAGCCTGAAGCCACAGCCACATGACCAGTGTCTGCTCCCATCCTCTGCCATCAGATCTTTGCTCACTACATCATGTTTTGCAGAGGTGCTCAAAATGCTCAATTTGACCAAAACACGAGCAACTTCCATGGCCTCCTCCTCAAGCATTTTCTCCAGTAAGCACATGCCTTTTTGTCCCCACCTCCACACAGTGGTCAAGCCCACACCCTTTCGTGTGTCCTGAATCTCATGTGGCTATCCTCTCTGTGGAGGCCGAGTCTGTGTCCAACTCCCCCAGGGGTGGTCTCTGATTATGTACGTTATGCCCCAAGAGGTGAAATGGTGATGGCGATGTCATTACTTCCTCCTCTCATTTTTCCTTCCTTCTTCCTTTTCCTCCTTTTCTCTTCCTGAGGGTTTAGGAATCAGTCTCTGCAGACACCAACTTTGATCAGTTTACAGGCATGTCCAATCTATGGGCTATTTTTGCCCTTATTTTTTTGAATGAAGAACAGTTGTCTTAGGCTGCATATGAAATACATTATATAGTAGTTAATATATGTAAGTGACAAAACTTATTTTAAAAATATTTTTATTATAACATTAAGAGAAACAAAGGCCAATAAGGCAGGCCACAGGTTGGTCATTTCTGGCAGAGGATCCAGAACCATATATTTTCAAGCATCATCCAGAATATTTGCTACTCTTTTCCTTTAAGTTTTTTAAAATCTGAATTTATGACTCTTTCTTCTCTCAGAATCTTGCTTTGTAATGAAAAATAATTCCACAGAACCCATAATGTGTGGCAGCTGGAATGCCAGCAGGTAAGAGGCTTATACTCTCCATTTTCCTCCCAGCCAAACACTTCCATTCAGCCCTCTTGCCGTGATGTGGGAAATGGTGTTCATGTAATGCCTGGTGGAGGCAGAGATGAGGATTCTCAAGCAACGCTGATGGTCGCTGTGTCTCTGCAGTTTGTTTATTTGTTTAGACAGGGTCTTGCTAAATTGCCAAGGCTAGCTTTGAACTCACGATCCTTCTGCTTCAGCCTCCTGAATAGCTGGGATTATAGGCACAGGCTACCGCACCTGGCTTAAGCAATTTTAGATTTGCGTTATTCAATAAAAATTATTTTCAAGTGTTTAGAGCAGCTTTCCCTCCTACTCATGTTGAATTGGTAGCTGAGAAGAGGTCTAGTGAAAACTTACTGATAGTTCAACTTTATGGAATGGACATTTAAGTCTTTCAAAGTTGATAAATGATGTCATTACTAAGAGCCCCACAAGTCCCTGCTTTCCTGTTAGGTGACATTACCTGATGAAATTCTCTGAGCATGCCTCTTATCTTTGTTTATCCATTAACCACCATGGCCTCTAATTGCAAACAGAGCAGTATGTAGATTTATATGCACTCATGTCCAACAGCTGGTAGCCCTCTGGACCTATGCAGTTACCCTTCCTTCTTCAAAGATACCAGTGCTCCCTATGGTGAGAAATTCAATTCAATGAAGGTTCATTGAACATATTTCCACTTAACATAATATGCAAGGCAATCTAATGAGACAGATTACACTCACTCCCCTGTATCAAATAGGTGTCTATTTGATATCAAGGGCCTGCAGTGTGCCAGGCTCTTGAGTTAGGTCCAAGGAAAGCAGTTATGAAAAAGACAGCTCCACTCTCTTGAAATTGATGTCTTCTGGAGAAAATACACCAGAGTACATTTTACAAGGTGTTGGGCATGTTGTCTGGGAGATGCACAGATGCTGAGAGTTGTGACAGGGGACGTGACCCATCTGGAGAACTGAGGAAGGATTCTCTCCCATTACCGTACTTACAAGATGCAATGGGCTTTGATACAATCCAAGGCTTGTTGAGCTCTCTAGAACAATCCTTGAGAGGACTCACTACACCCACGGTGTGTTCACCTTCATGAGGGCCCGCAGCTGCCACATACACTGCTTTGACTTCTCACTGTGATGGTACTACATGCACAATCCAAGTTGGGGTGTTTTTTTCTCCTGAACCCAAAGAAGCCTTGTTTTCCAGCTGGAATGTGTAGTATTCTTGTCTGTCTAAGTTCATGTGTCAAACACAGCTCTCACAGTCTAGGTACAGTGTGAAAGCTCAGGAGTGTATTGTGTATAAAGGTGTGTGTGTGTTGCTGTGTTCATAGAAAACTAGAAAGTTACAGAAGTAGCTGTTAATTGTTGTCTCTAAGAAGTGAGGGACAGGGGTGAGATGGAGACTGAATATTCATTTTGTGTGTTTATTGTTTTTTACTCTGTTACACTTAATTTTTTAGTGAAACACTTGTTTATATGAATTTATTAATCATTCCATTGGCAAAAGGAGTCAACAAGTGTCCACCCTGAGATGAAGTCTGGGAGGCTTGACAGATCCTTTGGCTGGAAGGCCACTGTGCAAACACTGCTTTTCTCCAGGGTTTTTGGGCAGCACCCAAGGCCTTCTGAAGAATACTGTCATGGGCAGGCTTGGGTTGGGGTACAGAAAGGAAAGCTGGGCTGTGGGCAATGTAATTCTTTGTCTGTTCCTTTGTTTCCAACATCTAGGTGTCCCCCAAATTCTAGATGTGAATCCACTGGCGTTAATCCTGACTATAATTACACAAATTTTGATAACTTTGGCTGGTCTCTTCTTGCCATGTTCCGGCTTATGACTCAAGACTCCTGGGAGAAGCTTTATCGACAGGTCATTTATTCATAGCCTCTCTCTTCTTTCTCCTTCCTGCCCTCCTTCCCCTCACTGATTAAGAACCTACCATCTACCTCCAACTTTTGTTATCAATTCCTCATTTTTAACATCTGTACTATAAAATTTGGCTTTAGAGATTCTGTGAGAAATTTTGAGAAAATTATAAGCATAATATTTGGAAGAAGACTAAAAGAAAACATGTCTACAAGTATTATCCCTCTGCAGTTCTACCACTCTTGCCTTTCTTATTTTAAAAACACAAATACTGTTAAGAAAATTAAGACTCCCAAATGCACTTATTGATGGCATCTGTCCACTGCAAGACAGGGTGTCAGGAGCTCCTGGGTGGCTGGGGAGTCATCCAGCAGCTAAGCCGCCCAATGCTGGGCAAAGGCCAATTGTCAGCAATGGTGTCATCTTGCTTGACATTATAGTCACTGTCCTGTGGAAGAGACCTCAGATGCAAGAATGTGCTCTATCCTTTGCAGACCTTGCATACCGCTGGGCCCTACTCAGTCTTCTTCTTCGTGGTGGTCATCTTCCTGGGCTCCTTCTACCTGATTAACTTAACCCTGGCAGTTGTCACCATGGCTTATGAGGAGCAGAGCAGGAATGTAGCTGCAGAGACTGAGGCCAAGGAAAAGATGTTTCAGGAAGCCCAGAAGCTGATAAAGGAAGAAAAGGAGGTAGGTACATGTGGAGTTAGGAAGTAGGTTCTGTCTAGGGGATCAGAGGGAGCCTGGAGACACTGTAACATGATGCTCAAAGCTGCTTCCTGGGGCCTGATCTCAGCACTTTCTCTATTTGTGCTTTTCTGAAAATTTAAGCTGTTTGTGGACTGACCATGTTGCTGTCTTTCTCAAAGTTGTCCAGTCTTGACCAGGGAACATTAGTCTTGATGCTTTTTGCTTTCTTGAAGCCTACATCTTCTAAACATGTCCCAATTACTGACTAGAGGAATCAACTTACATATATGTAAATCCAGGCTCTGCTGCAGCTTTTTTTGTGGAAATTTGGAGATGATTTTCTTCAGAGCCCTTGCATGGGAATGGTTGAGGGTTCTAGAACAACAGGCACATTATTTCTCCCTTCTGAAATTTTTTATCATGTTTATTGAGTTTCAAGCCCATACTAGGCATAAGGCTAAGGGTTAGTGATACAGAGGCATGACTTAACTCTACCTTTGACAGTGGCAATCTCTGTCCAAAAGCAGGACCTGTTTCCTCAGAAGAATACCTCAGAGCTAGCTTATTCTACTTAGATGATAAGCAGATTAAGTGGTATGATTCTACCATGAGAGAGCAGGGTGTGCTCACTAAGGTTGAGATCATCTGCGGTGTTTTATGGAAAGGTATAATCTCTTCATTAATTGCTTTTGTTCACTTTCTAAGGCTCTGATTGCCATGGGAATTGACAGAAGTTCACTTAATTCTCTACAAACATCATCTTTTTCCCCAAAGAAGAGAAAGTTCTTTGGTAAAGAGAAAAGAAAATCTTTCTTTTTAAGAGCATCTAAGAAAGACCAAGCTCAAGGATCAGATTCTGAGGAAGATTCCTCAAAAAATGTAAGTATTGTCCAAGGGATTAATGGTACCACAGTGCTGTCTGGGGGGACAAGTCCATTGACAAGCTAACTGAAAGGATTCATGTACTCATTTTCCATTCATCCATTTTCATACACATTCATGTATCAATGTATCTATTCAATTATCCATTTTCATAAACATCTATTTAAACGGTGTACAGTGTTTACTGTCTGCTAGACACTGGAGTAGGTACTGGAGACATGTGGTTCCTACTCCACAGAGTTTACAACTAATGATGAAGACACACAAATGAGGAGGCAGCTATGAGTCACTGTGAGAGAACAGAGGAGAAGCAATAGGTCAGTGTGGGTTTCCTCTGAAGCAAACCCAAAGATATTAGGGTAAAGTAGACCATTCCGGAAGTCATCTCAGGAAGTGCTGAGTGGGACGATACATGGAAAGGAAGGGGGCCAATGAAGGTTTATTATCAATCCAGTTACCAATGACGGTAGTTAAGTTTAATCCTCTGGAGTGTGGGTTTTAGAGTATATATGCACCAACTTTGATTGATCATTGGTTACAGATTGCTGGAGACTGGGGAACCATAATTTTCCTGCATTGCTGACTTGATGTACAATATGGCAGAGGGGATTTGGGTCACCAGAGAAAGCTCTGAAGTAAGAGCCAAGACGGAACATATAGATCAAACAATTAACAAGGTCTGTTTCAGACAACCATCCCAGATTTGGTGGAGAGCTGGGACAAGAGTAGTAGGTCAGAAGAGTTCCCAGAAGAATAGAATCTCAGCTGGATGAGTGAATTTAACAGGCAAAAAGAGAGTGGTGCATTACCAGTGGAGACAAAAGTGTGTACAAAGGCCTAGAAGCAAATGCAAGCAGAACAGAACCCATTAGAAAACTTGCATGTGTGTGTGTGTGTGTGTGTGTGTGTGTGTGTGATGAAGTTGGAGGACAGTGTCAAAAAGCTGTGGTGGTAAGGATATGGAGTGTCACAAAAGGCCTTGTAAACTAAGCAAAGGAGTTCACCCTTTATAAGGAGGGTGAGGGCAAGGTTAAGAAGCACTAAAAGAGTTTAAGCAAGAGAATGAGGTGACCCCAGGTAAATTTTGAAAACCTGGATGCACTGTAACACGGATATTGAAGGAGGAAAGATTACAGGCAACCAATGAAGAGGTTGCCATGGTTACACAAGTAAGAGGTAACAGTGGCTTATACCAAGGTTAGAGCAGTGAAGAGGAAGAGAGATGAACAGACTGCATGATCTACACAAGATAAAATTTGACAGTTGAATCGAGTAGAGGATAGACCTGGTGCCTGGCTAACGGCTTAGGCAGATGACTTGATAGAAGCTTATTTATTGAGACAAGAAAAGGGCATGTTTTAAGAGTGGGAAAGATGGCACATTTAGTTTTGGATTGCCAGTTCTAAGGGGCCTGTGGGGCATCCCACCAGGGATATCAAGTGGACAATGTGACACACAGAAGCAAGGGTATGGGGATGTTCAATAAACAAAGTTATTCTTATCATTAAGGCAGGGAATGTTAAGACATGATTTAATTATGGAGACACAAGTCAGAAGAAAGGGAAACATTAGAGAAACAGGCTGGGGAAAGATAGCTATCTCTGAAGCTCTGGTTGGTCAGAACCTTTGGAAAATAGCCATTCTGGATACCGAGTTTCCTGGATAGTTGATGGTTACATCTTTAGATTCTCAGTGATTTTAGAATTGTAGAAAAGGTAGGTGTCAATAAGCCTTTGGGTATAGTCTGAGAGAGTGCTTGAGATTTAGTGTATAGATTTTGTAATATTTAGTTTGAATGTTCTTTTTTAGTTATTGTTTTGAAATCTATATTGGCAGTTCTTCAACGTATGTTCCCAATAGGAATCTAGCTTTGTACATTTATCCCCCACTTCTGATTTTTGCAAGCATTGTTTCCAAATTCGATTTCTTATAGCTTTTATACCATGAGCCAATGCTCACTGACTTTTGTAATATTTTGTTTGCTTTCTGTTGACAATGAGTGAAACACAGGAAAAGCAATTTTTTTCTAGATAGGACTCTAGAAATGTGCATCTATAAGAAATGGTCAAACCACATTTCTCTGACCTACTAATTATGGATAAGAAAACTGAATATATGGCATGCTGTGAAGGAAAACTGAGTTGGTCTATATAAAACATTGAGCACCATTACTGCATGTAGCATTGAGACAAAGTAGTTGTGAAATTTGGGGAGACACAGCCCCTGCTTTAGAAAGTCCACCATACCTCCTCTTGCAGCCACCTCTCCTAGAGCAAACCAAGAAATTATCTCAGAATCTTCCAGTGGACATCTTTGATGAGCATGGAGACCCCTTGCAAAGGCAGAGGGCACTGAGTGCTGTCAGCATCATCACCATTACCATGCAGGGTAAGTTCCTCCTCTCAGTCCAAGGGAAAGTGTAACATGTAGTAATGTTCTCCCATTCCCCATCCTAGTGATCCAGAAGGCCTCCACAAATGAGGCTTCACAGGAATCACCTCACTCTACTGTCATTAAGAGTGATTTCCTGTACTTCTTTGGAGCACATAAGCAAAGTGGCCCAGAGGAAGTAGTCCATCCCTGAACTGAGTGCCACTCTGAGCAGGCCCTTGGACAAGGATGGGAACTGGCTCGACATGGGATGAGACTTCTAACCAAGAGCACAGACAGAGCCTCGTAAGCAGGCCAGGCAGTCACAGGAGGTCTGAGTGACAATGAGAATCATCCAGAGAAGACGTTAGACTTTCCTGGGAAGTGGCAGTTGTTATTGAATTTAGAGTCAGGAATCCGGCATGGGCAACAGAAAACCTGTGTAGATGAGCTGGATCCTGATTAACAGCTGGTAATAGAGCCCAGTTAAGGAGTTGGTGTTCATGTCCCAGCCCTGTTGTTCAAGTTCAGATGGGCCCCTTAGCATTTTTGGACCTATTGCATCACCTTGTTTGGCCAACATAAGTGCCTGAAATGGTGCCAGAGAAATCAGGGTGCAGCTGCCTAATGGCCTGAACTCAAGCAACTGGTAGAGTGTCATTCATTGCATACAGATACCCTTGCCTGACCATCTCTCCTTCCCCTAAGCATTGGTAGTTCCCCATTTCCCTAGTAGGTCATCACCATGGTCTGTCTTGAGAGGACATGGCTTGTGTCTGTGTCCCTTTCTGTCTTGGGGCTACACCCAGTCAGTGTTGACTTCTACATCCGTGTCTCTAACAGTGGAGCCCAGTTCCTCAGTGTGCAGTCAAGATGATGTACTTGACTATAACAGCTGCTAGTTGAATGTGGGAAACTGTCTCTACTGTACTGAGATTGGAAGGAAAACCCTTCTGGCTACCCAAGTCGGTTTAACTGATCATTGATCACAAGAGACCTGGGGGGAAGAAGAGGGAGGAAGAAACATACTCAGCCAATGAGCAACTAGACCGATTCAGAGCTAATTCCTTAACCTCTCCTTCTCATTCTCCTTCTCTAGAGCAAGAAAAGCTAAAGCAGCCTTGTCTCCCATGTGGAGAAAAGTTGATATCCAAATACCTTGTGTGGAACTGTAGTCCCAAGTGGCTGTGCATCAAGAAGGCCCTGAAAATTGTGATGACTGACCCCTTTACTGAGTTGGCCATCACCATCTGCATTATAATCAATACCATCTTCTTGGCCATGGAGCATCATGGAATGAATACAGATTTTAAGAAAATGTTGAAAACAGGGAATTGGGTAACTTTTGTAAAATATAAAGCATATTCCAAACTTTGAATTATAAGTCTTTTATAGTCTAAACCTTTTGTAAATGACCTAAACTAGGCCTTTGGTCTCTGTAAGTGGAATAGAGGTAAAAGACGACATTTAGCATTTTATTTTAACCTTGTTCATATCAATAGTCTTCCACGGGTCCTGTGTTGGCTCCCTAGTACATTGAAGTATTTATTTAGTCGTCCAGCTATAAGCCAGAATAAGGAGAAATCTTGAAGGTTCAGTTATTTGGGATGATGGAGAAAGTGTTAACCCTATGAAGGACCCAGAGTAAAGACTGCCATGGTCCCCAGTGATAGAGATGACATCATTTATCAGAAAACAGCGTGGCTGCCATTACTAGGTGTTCTCCTGGGAGGTGAGTCAGACCCTGGTAGCTGTGGCAGGTCCACTTTCCTAGGAGGGGCTGTGTGGAGCATTCAGGGTGAGGTGGGCCTGAACTTGCAGACTGAGGCCCTTTTAGTACATTTCTCATTAGATGGACCTTATTTCAGTTAAACTGAGAGAACTAATTTAGGGAAGCAGACTTTTCAAGGATGGTTCACTTTAATTCATGGTTCCTATGGAAGACATTTTTCTCGAGGGAAAATTTGTCTCCCAAATATCGGGAAAAACCCAATAATTAGCCACTGGATGCTTTACCTTAATTAATTAATTAATTAATTAATGGGTTAACAGGCTAAAAATATCACCAGAATATCTTGAGGCTGTGCAGTTAGATGAACTCCTCCTGGACTCTTGTTGGTGGAGGATATTTATCCTTAGTTTTTAGAGCTATTACAAACCCTCCACTACTTCCCTACTTTGGAGGTTAGAGGAGGAATTGCCTGATTCTTCCTATCACCCTTCTAACTGCCAAGAAGCCAGTTTTGCTTTACTTTCAACAGAGTGGGAAATAATATTCATTTTCTGTGCTGACATCGGTGAGGTTGATACACACTAGCATTGAGCTCGGCCCTGTGGAGAGGGGCCAGAGAAAGGGAAGGATGGTGAGGTGTGTGTCACACAGAAAATGTTTCTAGTGCAGGGACTTGAAGGTGTATTGTAACAGCAGAGAAAGGACTTTTCATTTCTTTGTAGCCTCTATAAATCCCTGGGAATATTCTTAAATTTTTACTGTCCTAAAAGATAGCTTCCCTTACTCATTTTTTCCCTTTTTGTCCCATTATAGGTTTTCACTGGCATTTTTATGGCAGAAATGTGCCTAAAAATCATTGCACTTGATCCCTACCACTACTTTCGCCATGGCTGGAACATTTTTGACAGCATCGTTGCTGTTGTGAGTCTTACAGAAGCCATAGCCGCGAAGTGGGTGTTCCTGCGCTCCTTCAGAGTGGTAAGGCTCTTTCTTATTTCACTGCACAACTCAGTGGCCCAGTTTGAGAGTCATGAATGAATTCAGTGACTATCTTAGACTAAATCTTAATTCATCTTAACCACAGAACAAAATTTGCACTCCTCCTCCCACTCAAATTCAGTGGCCCTGAGAGCCCCAGAAAGACTTCTTCCAAATGAACCCCTACACCAAGTCCACCAAGATGGACCATAGGCAACCATATGCAAATCATGTATCCCAGCATCAGAGCTCTGCTGCTTGCTTTGTGCACAACCCCAAAACACTGTCTTTCCTCATGGAGCTCTATGGTAAGCTCCTCACATCTGGGCTCACAGGGGTGGAAGACTCCAGTGCCAGAGAGAAGGGTGCCAGCTGCCACCTTGTGCTGCCCTATAACAAGATTCCTTCTCATTGCTGCTGCTGTCACATTCCTGCCCTGTAGTCTGTGCCCTGAACCCAGCATTCTGGAGGCATCCTGCCTATGATGAGCTAACTCAAGGGAAGTCCTTGAGATCAGAAAGTCACTGTCTTCAAGGAGTTTTGAGTCCATTGAGTGGCAGAAATGACCATGAAACAGAGCCCAGGAGAGTTATAAACAAAAAAAATACTATAGAACACACATCCAAGAGGGGAGTTGAGAAGCCTCCACAGTGGCTTGATCTGTTTTCTACAGCTATAACAGAGTACTAAAAACTGGTGAGGGCCTTCCTACTGCATCACAACTTGGTAGAAGGCAATACCTGGTGAGAGAGAGAGAGACTGACAAAGAGGACCAGATTTCATCCTTCTATCAGAAAACTACGTTCAGGATAAACTAACTCCATGATAATGACATCAATCCATTCATGAGGGCAGAGCATTCATTTAGAACCTCACTACCACTGGAAGGTCCCACTTCTCAATAGCAATTAAATTTATTTTTTATTAGTAAATGTTTGTAATACATAATAATTACATTCATCTTGGGGAACTGGTACATGTATCTATTATGTCTTGATCATTTTTACCCCCTCCTTCCCTGTCCTCCCTTCTCTAGGTCCCCTTCCCATCTCCACAAAGTCTACCTCCCTGTTTTCTACCATCTCTTTTATTTTGCTCTTTTAATTATTTATATTTTAAGTCTTTCATGTAAGAGAAATCGTGCAATATTTAACTTATGTCTATGTCTAATTTATTTCACTTAGCATTATTGTCAAGATCCATCCATTTTCTTACAAATGACTCACATTTATTCTTCTTTGTGACTGAGTAATATTCATTGTGTATATATACCACCATTTTCATTACCCATTCATCTGTTAATGGGCATATAGTCTGCTTCCATAATTTAGCTATTGTGAATTGTGCTGCTATAAACATCAGTATGCATGTATTACTGTAATATGATGACTTTAATTCTTCTAGGAAGATACCCAGAAGAGGAAGAGCTGAGTCAAATGGACTTTATACTTTTAGTTTTTTGAAAAATCGTCATATTGATTTTCATAGCAGTTGTACTAGTGTACATTCTCACCAGCCAGATTGAAGGATTGTTTTTTCCCCCTCACAACCTTGCAGCATTTAAAAAAATTATTTCTTGATGACAATCATTCTTTCTGGAGTAAGATGAGATCTCAGTGTGGTTTTGATTTGCATCGCTGTAATGGGTAAAGGCTCTGAACATTTTTTCATGTACTTATTGCCCATTTGTACTTCTTTTAAGAACTGTCTGTTCATTTCAGTTGTCCATATTTTGATTGGCCTTTTGTTTTGAGGGGTCTAATTTCTTTTAGTTCTTTATATATATTCTAGATAATTAGTCCTCTGTCTGATAGTTGGTGAAATTTTTTCCCATTCTGTAGGTTTCTTCACTCTGTCACTTGTTTCTTTTTCTGTGTAGAAACTTAATAATTTAATATAATCCTCATGCTGATCCGCTTCAGAAATAAGGAACTTAACCCACTCTTTTGTAGAATAAGTTTGCAGTCTTGCTGACTCCCATTATGAAAAAAGAATGTTCAGTATGTATCAGTAAGAGGCACAGGAAGGGTCTATTAGGCAGAGGTTTAGGACACACTCAGGAGTGAAGCGAGAGTGCTCAAGGAAATTAGGCACATTATTTCCTGGAACAAGGAACATGTATACTTCTCTTGAAAAGGTGGAAAGCCCAGGAAGAGGTGCTCCCCCACCAGGGGTACTGGCCCATTCTACAGATATGGGCAGGGTTTTTTGGCGGGGGGGTGGTACTGGGGATCGAACTTGGGACCTTTTGCTTTCGAGGCAGGCAGCGGAACCACTGAGCTAAATCCCTGGCCCTTTGCAGGGGAATTTTGTAATTAAAACATTCCTTGAATTCTCTCAACCATGCACTTCCCCTCCCTCCTCCCATGTGGTAGGATACACTAAAACCTCTCCCTGGAACCATGAGGAGACTTCCCAAGTTCCCTAGCTCTCTTAATCCCCTGTGTCCTCTAGCTTCCTATCGCTACTGTCAGAAAATATTAAAGGATCTGAGTTTTCTGACAGCTGAGGCCCTCAGAGTGGGACAAAAGGGACAAGAAGGGGATTGAGGCTTTCTTAGGGTAGTATTTTCTTTCTTTTTTTTTTTTTGGTACTGGGGATCGAACTTGGGACCTTGCACTTGCGAGGCAGGCAGCAGAACCACTGAGGTAAATCCCTGGCCAGGAGGCTTTCTTAGGAAAGAGAGGAGGAAAAACAAACCAGTGGGCTCCTTCTCAGTTTGAGCCCCTAGACTTCACCAGGTCCCAAGGATAATGTCGGTTATCACCTGAGTGACCACTGGAATCTGCACAGCTTAGGTCATGTTCCCAGCCACCCAAAAAGGGGAGCTGTGTGATTTAAGGAGCTCACTTTCCTCAGGTGCCACTGCCAAGGCCAGTCTTCTCCACGGTGTCTCGGGACTGGGCTCCCCACACTGGTTGCAGGAGAAACTTGAGACACTGTGGGTCCATCCTTGTCTGTGCCTCTCCAGTGGGCACATTTCACTTCCATCTGAGCCAGGAATGGGGTCTGTGGACCTGAGGGAGAACCTGACGAGGCCACCACACATCATAGAGGATCCTGGTCAAAACTGCTTCCCATTTCTGGTTAGAGGGAGCAAGTGCCTCTTGCCTTTGGTGCTTTCATGTATAAGCACTCATTTTCTAGGGAGTTAGGACTCTCTAACTGCTAGGAAGGAGAAACCTAAGGCTGCAGAGGGTTGTAGACAGGGAGAGAGAAAAAGGAGGAAAAAAGAGACAAACCATGCTTCAGAGGGCAGGGGGTTGAGAGAAATGGGAAAGAAAATAAAAAGCCTTTTGAATAGACTTACCAAAGTCCAGATCCTGATGCCGCTTTTTACCTTTGCCACTGGCTAATATCACTGGGATGGATCTGAGAAGGTCATCCACCCTGTGGTGGAATAAGTTTGGAGGCTCACTGACTCCTGTCTGAAAATGAATTTTCAGCACACATTAGTAAGAGTCACTGGAAGGATTTATTAGGAAGAGATTTAGGAAACACTCAACACCAAAATACAGGTGCCAGAGAAATGAAGCACCTGGAACAGGTGAACATTTCCTGGAACAGGGAACGTTTATGCTTCTCTTGAAGGGGTGGAAAGCCCAGGAAAAGGTGAGCCACCCCCAGAAGGGTACTGGCCCATTCTACAGGTATGGGCAGGGGTTTTTCTTGTTGTCTTGATAAATCCAAACATTCTTTGTATTCTCTCAACATGCTCCTTTATCTTAGGATCAGGTTCATGCTCTTTACTTTCTCAATTAAACCAATTTATGGACTTTCAATTTTGTACGTGATGGGTCTGGTATGAAAGGAGCCTAAATTTAACCAAAGCAATGCTGACATGGATCACCTTGGGTAACTTTGTCTGGGTTCTGGAAGTTGCAGAATTCTTCAAAGTACAATTTTTAGTTATGATTTCCTTGTCTCTTTTCTGTGTAACTTATTTCTTCTATTCTACCTTGATTGAATTGTTGATTTTTTGATGTTATTTCTTGAGCAATTGGGGTTCTGTTCAGAAAGCCCTTGCCTATTCCTATGTCTTCACATTTTACCTATTTTATCTTCTAGAAGATTCAGTGCTTTTGTTTTTATATCTAGGTCTTTGATCTATTTTGATTTTATTTTAGCACAGGTTGAGAGATATAGGTCTAGAGTCATTCTTCTGCCTGTGGATAACCAGTGTTCTCTGTACCATTTGTAAAAGATGCTGTTTCTCCATCATGTTTTTTGGTCCCTTTGTCAAAGATCAAATGTCTGAGTATGCATGGATTTGTTTCTGCATCCTCAGTTCTATTCTGTTGACCAATGTGTCTTTTTTTTTGGTGCCAATACCATTCTGTTTTTATTACTGTAGTTTTGTAATGTAACTTGAAAACCCAGGATCATAATGCTTTCTTCTTGCTCATTTTGCTTAGGATTGCTTTGACTATTCTATGTTTCTGGTTCCATATAAATTTTAAGAGATTTTGGTAGTTCTGTGAAGAATGTTATTTATACTTTCATTGGAATTGTATTAAATGCATATATCATCTTTGATAATGTGGGCATTTTGATAATAATGGTTCTAGTGGCAATTAAATTTAACATGGGAGACGTGTTTTGCCAGGGACATTCAAACACTGAACTGAGGGCTCCTCCCAAACTCATACCCTTCTCACATACAAAATATTCCTGTTCTATCTCAGTAACTCCAAAGATTTTTTCTTTTAAAAAATTTTTATTTTTTATTGATTCATAAAAATTGTTCATATTTATGTGGTGCCATGTAATGTTTTGACACAGTACATTATGTGATGTTGAAATCAGGGCAAGTGCATCTATCTCCTCAAACACTTGTCTTTTTTATGGTTAAATCACTCAAAATTCCTTCTAAAAAAATTCTTTCTTCTATCTTTTTTGGAATATTATAGTTACCTATGGACATTCTACTGAGCAGTCAAACACCAGAACTTATTTCTCCTGGGACTTACTATCTATCCACTGACCAACCTTTTCTTGAC